AGCCCTGATCTCGCGCCATCGGATTACCACTTATTTCGATCCCTGGACAACTCCCTTCGTGGTAAAACTTTTAACGACGATGACGCTTTAAAATCTCACTTAACTCAGTTTTTGGCCGAAAAGGATCAGACTTTCTACGAGCGTGGAATTTTCAAGTTGTCGGAGAGACGGCAAAAGGTCGTCGAACAAAATGGAAAATACATTACAGATTAAACTTCGTTCCAAGTAAAAAAAAATTTTTAATTTCATTGAACAAATCGGCAATTACTTAGTTGCCAACCCAATACATCGAATGTTTCGAACATGTGTACTAATAGGTTTCTTATGCTTTTTGACAGCCAATTGGGGCGTTGAATCCAAGTAGAAGAGCGTACTTCGAGGAACGTTTCCAGAGCTGGGAACACGATAGCATACCGCCTTTCCATTACGGCACGCATTACTCGACTGCTACTTTCGTTCTGAACTGGATGATCCGCGTGGTAAGAATCTACGAAGCTGACTATAGTAATGTCTCCCTAACCGACGCTCAGATTGTGCAGAAAAATGGACAATTTCGGAAGAAGAGATACGATTATTCGAGCCTTGCAAGCTCGCTTGAATAGATGTTGACAATTCCTAGAGACTTGAATAATCGTATCTCCTGTTCCCAAATTGTCCATTTTTATGGACAATCTGAGCGTCAATTAGAGAGACATTGCTGTACTTCCAAAGTGAATTTGAACCATATTAAAAATTCTGTAATGGAAGGAAGTATTTAACTGATCATAACATCGTGTAACTTTAAAGTGTGCAATATTTTTGTTAATTGGGGTTTTCAAGTATTCTCTCGTTTTCTATCGTTTTATAATAATTGTACTAACAAAAGGAAGAAGTAATATAATATGACGTATGATACACTGCGACGATCTTCGTGCTGCGATAAGAGTGGAACGTTTAAACGAGGCGGAGGAATTATTGAAAAGATCAAGAACTGTCTTAAGAACTGTTCGAAGCGAGACACAATCGGTTTAGGCAATTGAATAATCGCTTCAATTTATCGCTAGAGTATTCCGTATAATTTATTAATCGACCATCATCTCGTAGTTCAATAATCTTTGTCGACACTCGAGCAGACGCGAAATTAAAACCGTAGAGACTACAGTAAACTCTCCCCAATTGTCCCTGAGCTTGTATAGAAAAATGAACAATTTCAGAAGGGGAGATGCGATTGTTATTCGAGCCTTGCGGTTCGTTTTTATAGTTACGAATTGTCAACAACTATAAAAAAAAACGAGCTACAAGACTCGAATAATCTCCTCTTCCCAAGTTGTCCATTTTTCTGCACAATCTGAGCGTCAGTTAGAGAGACATTGCTCTTTTCGTCCTTCTCGTCCCATTTGAACTGTCCGCCGCATCCGGAAGCCTTGAGCAACCTCGGTATTATGATAAATTGTCTACGCACGAGGGTAGAAGAATTCACGGGCCGGTCGAACAACAGCTCGTAAAAGCAAAAGGCCAGGCATTTACGGCAACGACCGGGCGATCACGAAGACACGGTGCGCGAAGAGGCCCATGAATGGCTCCTCTGTCGCAGGGCGTCGCGCTTAGAGTCTCCTCTGACAGGCTGACGAATGTTAACAGAGGACCTCCGAAGATCGACGCGCGTTTCGCGCGTGGCCGTGGGCGGCCCCGTGATTTATGGTCGCGTATAAAATTTTCGACAAGTTCTCGGCCGTGCGCGGTCGTTCGCGGAACAGCGGAAAGTTCGAAGCTCGCGGGCGCGCGATTTTCTCGCGGCGGAGAGCGCCGTCGTGGAATCGTTAATGGTATTTATAAAATAGTCCGAAAGAGACAACGAGCTGCACAGTTATAAAGCAATAAATTGTTTATGGTGCAGTATATCGTCGGGCGAACAGCGGGGTGTCGCACGGCCAAAGGAATAATAAAATCCTTATTGATGATTTGCATGCAAATGCGCGTTCACCCGTTCGAAGCGGGCATGCGCACGCCATTCGCGTGAAATTGAAACCGCGGCGAGCTCGGTCCCGATTTCGCGAATCTGGAAATCCCGGCCGAAAGAGGCGACCGAGGATCGTATCCGAATTCTTTGGATTTATCTCGTGCGATTATAATTCTTCGACTCGATTTCAAGGCTTGCGTCGCCGTCGTCGTAAAGACGTTGCGGTTTAAAGTCGACTCAGCGAGCCGAATTTCTCTCTCGCCGAACCCGTTTCCGTGCGCGCTGGTATACATGGTGAGGTCATTTGAAACAACTTTTTCCTTTGCAAAAATTTTCTGCGAGGCACCGTTCACGAGTTATTCACAAAAAACGCTGACCAATGAGAGATCGCCGACGCCCCGCCCTCGCGACCACTGCCGCTGCGTTAGCTGGCCGGCGCGACGCGACATTGGCCGCGAGAGCGAGGCGTCGGCGATCTCTCATTGGTCAGCGTTTTTCGTTAATAACTCGTAAACGGAGCGGCGGATTGCATTTTCGCTAAGGAAAAAGTTACTTGAAATTATCTCATGAATCCTCCATTTCCGGATTGCGAGACATTTCTAGGACACCCTGTAGATACGTCGCGGGAATTCGCGTTCAAAATCGGGGACATTAATTCGAAGGGCCGCGTCGTTTCGGGGAAACACGCGATAAAGTAGCCGGCGAAAGAGGAGCGTTCCTCTTGCGAAAATTAACGCAGTCGTTAGTGTAATGAGAACGGGGCGGGTGAGGCGGGGCGGCGGGAGACGGCGCGTATTTTTGCGCGGAATCGTTCGAAACGGGCCGCGCGTGAACGCGACCCGCAGGAAACGCGGCAGAAAACAAATGCACATATTTAACGGGAAGGCGGGCTTCGTTGACTCGAGGGCGTTCCGACGCCCCCAAATTAGCGTGCAGACACTACCGAATGCGTCGTTGAAATTTATGGCACGAACTGGACTGGTCTCTCAAATAGACGGTCCAAGAACCGACGATTGTCGGGCTGTTCCTCAGGGTATAACGATGCTCCGACCGGGAACGACTATCGGGGCCCGGCATATTGAGTCTTGTTTACAAAATATCAACTTCGGAGAACACATAATGCTGATTTTATTTACGCGGGAATACGGTGTACGATTTCTGGAGATATAAAGCTTAACTCCTCGGAGTCCGATTTATTTTTTGTTAATTTGCCTTATATCTGAAGTCAAAAGTATTACGCACATGTAAATATTTGTTTAAGTCCCAAGCAGCGCGATCGCGCTGTTCAGATCTTGCGTCGCGATCAAACTTTAGTTACGCACGTACATCGCGTAGCTGCTTTTTTTTCCTTTTTTTTTCTTTTCGTTTTGTTTGTCAATCTTGACGAGCGCTGTCGCACCGCTTGGTTCTCTTCGCAATCAATTAAGACAAGCGCTATCACGCTGTTCGGCGCATTTTTCGACCATGTTCTCTGAATAATCCCTGGGACTCGAACGGTTAATTACAAGAAATGTTGATTTTATTAGTGTAGGTTCTCCCTTTCGGACGCTAAGGGCTGGGACATGTGTGTCCCATTGGTTACATGTGAACAAATATACGTGTGGTTTGGATTCTAAGACTGGTATATTCGTCTATTGTGGGAAAACAGGGTTCGTTTCTTCCAATAGGCGTACGAAATATTAGGTCCACCGGAAAGATCAAAGAACGCTGCCGATGGTTATGGGACTTCAGCGTTGAACTTCCACTTCATCTTTTATACGTGCGACACAAATTTTTCAAGTAAAAGGCGAGAAGCATCCAAATTACTATTTTTTCGCAATCCATACTATTCGCCTCGAAACGAACGTAATTCTTCACAACGCATGTTTTCAGTTTCATGGTCTCCCATACGCTCTGAATATATTAGGTCTACCGAAGAGTTCTGTCCGATAGTGTCACTTCAAGTTTCAATCCATATGCACACGTTGATTTGCGACATATACGACTATCTCTCTTTATCATTGCACTTACACACATGTACTCTCCTAAATAAACTGAAACAAAGATGTCTCGTGTCATTATTAAGCGAGACGCGATCGTGAAAACATGGCTACCGATGATAATGCCGGACCACATGCTGCTTTGGCGACTCGTCGGAAAATCGTAGGCTGGGCTGGGAAATTCTGTCGCATCCACCATACTCCCCAGACCTAGCACCCTCCGATTATCACTTGTTTCTCTCTTTGCAAAACTTTTTACAGGAAAAAAAATTCAAAACTGAAGCTGATGTCAACCAAGCACTAGTCGAGTTCTTCGCCTCTAAAAATAAATCATTTTTTAAGAATGGCATTTACAAGTTGCCATCACGCTGGCAAGAAGTCATAAGTAACGATGGAAAGTATATTCTACAATAAATATTATTAAATGTATGAAAATTGTGTTATATTTCAATTCAAAAACGGACAGAACTTTCCGGTAGACCTAATACATAGGTGGGACACATACATCTCGATGGACTCAAAAGGGTTGATGGATGTCCGAAGGTTCCACATCTTTTTATTACTGTTCACTATGTGACAAAGGAGTTGTTCTGTTGACGTCAATGGAACTGTTAGTACAATTATTATAAAACGATAGAATACTTGAAAACTCCAATTAACAAATAGTGCATACTTCGAAGTTACACGATACTATGGCCAGTGAAATATTTCCTTCCATTTCAGAATTTTTAATATGGTTCAAATTCACTTTGAAAGTACAGCAATGTCTCTCTAATTGACGCTCAGATTGTCCACAAAAATGCACAATTTCTGGAAGAGGAGATAGCCTTGTAGCTCGTATTTTATAGTTGTTGACAGTTCGTAACTATAAAAACGAACTGCAAGACTCGAATAAGCGTCAATTACAGAGACATTACCGTAGTTTGATACTATAGTTCGTAGTATTTTCCTTCAATGCCAGATTTAGATGTCTGGCTTTCCAATTTCAGCTTCATTAATTAAGTTAATTAGATATCGTGATAATTTATAGGACTAATTTTCGGCACTTGATGCATTCAAATTAATTTCCCAAGTTGGTTGCCGAGAGAAGATAATTATTATCGTTGAGATCATAGTCTTCGAGCTGGAATTTATATTACATTTTACTTCTATTATATTTTATTCATATTATATTCATTCTATGCGATGAAAGATGAAATGAGAAAAAGCATAACGATTAACGCTCGCGAGATATAAACGCTGCGACGAACGAACATTTCAGGAGCCGATGACCACGATGTTCTTGGCCCTCCAAGGCGGCAAGTTCGACCACCCGAATCGACTGTTCTCCTCAATCGCTTTGTCTTGGAAGAACTGCCAACGGGACACTTCCGACGTGAAGGTTCGTTCCATCCGAAGCATCGAAATGCTGCGAGCTTATTAGTTACACCTCCGCGAGCAAAGGATGCGCGCGTCGCTATTGTTACTGTTCGCGAATAAATTCTCGGGACGTCGCGGCGGCGTCCCACGGCGATACAGATACGTATAAATTAACCGGCTTGTTAACAGGAGCTGATTCCGGAGTTCTTCTTCCTGCCAGAAATGCTGGTGAACAGCAATCGGTATCGGTTGGGTAGGCAGGAAGACGGAAGCTCGGTCGGCGATGTTGAGCTGCCTCCGTGGGCCTCCTCGCCGGAGGAATTCATAAGGATTAATCGAATGGTGCGTTGTTAATTAATTTAACGTTGCTTCTACAGAACTGCTACTTCGTATTGCATCGTATAGCTTCGTGTGAAATTCAGGAATTTACAGTAGTCCACGAAAGTGTAATAACTGTTTTAAAACTCAACTAAATGACTTGAATTTCTCTTTTAGATGACAGGGAGGTCAAGGTTAAATTAGAAAAGCCCTAAAATGGCTTTGTTTTATTTCGTTATTATTTGGGATGACGAAAAAGAAAGAAAATAAAGAACTCTCGTTGTTTAACATTTTTATCCGAGTCTATGTATAACAAAAATTTTAAAAATGCCTTTCGTAGACTTAACTCTCGTTAATTTATTAATTATATTTATTATAATTATATATATTAACTATATATATAATTAATTATTATATATTATATATATATATATATATATATATATATATATATAATTAATTATTATATATTATATATATTATTATAATTGTATATATTAAAATTATATATTAAAATATATTATTATTTTATATAATTATATTATATTAACTCTCGTTAACTTATATGCGCGCTGAAAATGTGCTCGAAATCCCAGAGTCGGTCCCGTTGAAAGATCTAAAACAACTGCAGATTTCTTTCAGTTTTTGGTCAAAATCGTGATAAAACTGCGACTTTTGCAGTCATCTTTAATTGTTTATAACCGATAACAGCGTTAATTGATTTCGATAAAATTTTCAGCATTGAGCACAAGTTAAAAGACACGAGTTTCTTTTTTTTTGTCACTCCAAGTAATAGCAAAATTTAATAAAAGTATTTTGATCATCGTCTAGTAAACTAATCCCACTGTCATCTAAAAAAGATTCAAGTCGCTTAGTTCAGTTTTAAAAAAGTTATTGCATTTTAAACGGTGCACGACCACTTTTGTGGGCCACTGTATACATTTTTCACAAAAATGGCTTCTATTTTAATCTGTACGCTAACTGTAAATCTTTGTATCTGCAGGCGCTCGAATCAGAGTTCGTGTCTTGTCAATTGCACCATTGGATCGACTTGATATTCGGTTACAAGCAGAAGGGTGAGTTTTAACCAAGGCTCGAATAATCGCATCTCCCCTTCCCAAATTGTCCATTTTTGTGCGCAATCTGAGCGCGAATTAGGGAAAAATTACCGCATCCCTCAAGAATCCGAAGTCGAAGTCCAGCTCGATCCACTCGATCGTGAAGCGCTGCTGAGATATTTACATAAATTGAGACACGATAACATCCGGACAATGGCGCGAGCGCGGTAGGAGAGGGAGGGGGAAGCTGTGCCGGTTGTTGGGACACGCGGAGTCGGGTCAAATTAGGCTTGCACCGATGGTAATTGCCGGTGGCGCCTCTATATCCGGCGCTTCCCCGAAGATGCTCGCGCCGAAGAAAGAGGGTGGCGTCGCTCGCCGCGCGTATGGAAGGAATTAGTTTTTCGTTAGCTTCCTCCCGGTCTTGTCCCGACCAATTAGGCACGTGTGCGGGCCGCGACAATGCGCGCCACCCCTAATACGTAGCACGTTTACGGACGGTCGCACGAAAGTACGGCCTGCAGGAAATGCCGGGCCGCGAGCAATCGACAGAGGGCCGAGAAATCGGCCGGGCAAACGTGGCGTAGACAAATGCTGCCCGTCAGCGGCTATTTATTTTCTGATCGTTCAACCGAACCTTCCAGCGTGCCCGACCGTTCAAAGAGATATAACGAGCCGGTAGCGTCGTTACAATTTTTTTCAGAACCACGGGACAAACGTTTATAGCCTTCTATTACGGACTCGCGGATAAAACGATTTTACGTATTTATAGACTCGCGAGGAAACTGGAAGATTTGACGCGACTAGATTCATACTAATTTTCGCTTCTCAGTTTTTCTTTTAGATACTTTTCAATTTATTTGATGTTTATGTTTATGCTAGGATATTCATGGTTTATATTATTATATATATATATGGATTAATTATGATTTAATATATTATATATTAAATATAATATATTATATATTCATATATATATATGAATTAATTTTATGATTCATATTATTATATATATGAATTAATTATGATTTATATTATTATACATATGAATTAATTATGATTTATATTATTATATATATGAATTAATTAAGATTTATACCATTATATATTGTATATATTATTACACATATGTATATATTTATCTTATTTATTATTATTATTTATGTATTTATTTACAAGTTCCAGTAAAATTTTAGGAATTCCCTAAATTCTGTGCGACCCTATTCGAGCGTCTGCAGCAACCGTGTAATTCTGTCGGGTTCATTGCAGGGCCGGAAGCAGTGCGCGCAACGAACGTGTTCTACTACCTAACGTACGAAGGCAGCGTGGATCTGGACACGATAACGGACCCCATGATGCGCGAGGCCATAGAAAATCAAATCCGAAACTTCGGCCAGATACCGTCGCAGCTGCTGATAGAGCCGCACCCACCGCGGAGCTCGGCGATGCATTTGGTAAACGATATTTACTATTCACTGTTCCATTTGTCCACGAGCGTTAATACCGCTCACGATCTGACACATCGTAGAAAAACCTTTGTTGTAAGAAAAGTGTGCACCGTAATGTAGGTATTAGTATTATAACATGAATATAGTATTGTAGGTGTACTCCCGAGGAGCTCTTAATTAAGAGACCGTCCTGTTACAAGGTAGAGTCCCAACGATTCGATTACTCTTAAGCAAGAAGCTAGCCTAGAGATTCGATCGCTAGAAATAGAAGAGTTAGCGCGTAGCCTCGTAGTTCTCCGCCGCTATCCCCTGGGCGGAAACCTCCAGTACCTCTGGTCCCGTTTTGTTCGAAAGCGAAGCTTCGAATTGGCGAAGATTTCTGCGAAACGGGACCACGGAACTCCTCTTCCGTACGTAGAATTCGACTGGTTAGACACCCCGAGTTTCAGTAGCGTTAGATGAATAGAGACGGGTGTCCATGTGTGAGTAAAACTCACGACAGTCGCTCTACAAAGTGTCCCTAAATTATTGTGTAAGCGAGAAACGAGGGATTCCTGAGGTTATTTGAAGCAACTTTTTCCTTAGCGAAAATGCAATCCGTGGCTTCGTTTAGGAGTTATGAACGAAAACAGAGATGCGTACGGCTGATGCCCCGCCCTCGCGACCGCTGCCGCCGCGTCAGACGGCCGGCGCGACGCGGCATTGGCCGCAAGGGCGCAGCGCCGGCCGCACTCGCACTCCGATTGGACAGCGTTTTTCGTTAATAACTCGTAAACGAAGGGTCGGATCGCATTTTCGCTAGGGAGAAAGTTGCTTCAAACGACCTCAGGAACCCATTACTTCCCGCTCGCACAATAATTTTGGGACACTCTGTAATAAGTTTCGTATACGCGGGACTCGCCAGTTCTGTCACCCTTCCCTGCGTCTTGCCTAGCTTTATGCGAAGTCTCGTGGCTAGAGTCGTACTATCGTCATTGCCAGATAGCTACTCTCACAGTGCGAAACCAATTCCTTTTGTGAGAGCAGTTATCTGACAGTGGTTCTAGTATGACTCGAGCCTCGAGATTTCGCATACGTTGACAAGACGCGCGGAAGGGCAAAGGACCTGCCGAGTCCTGTATATACAAGACTATAGAGCAACTGTCGAAAGTTTAACATTCAGATGAACACCCGCCTGAACTCACCACCAGCTCGGTCATCCTCACGTCACTAAATGATATACCTACATATACGTGCAATGCACGCTTTTCTTTCTGTTCAAACGTACCGAACGTGAAGAGTACTGCAAACTTTGACAAGACGTTGCCCACCGTGTTGCAGTCGCCGATGATGTTCTCGAGCATCCCCGACGACGTCTGCATGACAATCAAGTTCCCGTCGAACTCGCCGATCTGTCACATCTCCGCGAACACGTACCCGCAGCTACCGTTGCCGTCCGTCGTCACTGTCACCACCGGACAGCAATTCGCTGTCAACCGATGGAACACCAACTACGCCGGTAAGCAACGACGACTTTCACCGGGTCGCGTTTAATGAACAACCGTCCGCGACCGCGGATCGATTGTGTTCACTTCCGATAGATGTATCTGTTTTGCTACTAACGTCGACCGGCGAGTTATGAACAATGATTATTAAATCGTTGCGAAACAAATTACAGCGTCCGTACAGTCGCCGAGTTACGCGGACGCCCCGCAGGCTCAGGCTGCCAACCAACCGCTCTCCATGGATCCTGTTCTCTGTAAGTCAACGGAATAGTACTCGAACTGTCTTTTATCAAATGTTCTGGGTTGCATTGGTTTGTCCAAGCATGCGAGAGAAACCACTGAATTCTGTATTTTTATTCTCCGGTCAATTTAGTTCTTGACACAGGAAAATGGTAGTAGTAAATAAAATATAATTATATTATTATATTATTATATAATTTACTACTACTTGGTAGTAGTAGTAGTAAATGTTTAGTTCTGACAGACTGTTCCATAATTATGTTAACGCGCGGTAATCGGTGATTCCTGAGGTGATTTGAAGAAACTTTTTCCTTTACAAAAATTTTCTCCGCGGCTTTGTTTACGAGTTATTAGAGAAAAACACCGACCAATGAGAGGCGAGCTCGGTTGGCGCTCGGCCGCGGCCGAGTCAACGAGCGGTCGATACTCGGTTCCGCTGATTGGCTCGGCCGCCTAGCGTCAGCCGCGCTCGCCTCTCATTGGTCACTGTTTTTCGTTAATAACTCGTAAACGAAGCCGCGGATTGCAATTTCGTTGAGGAGAAAGTTGCTTCAAATGATCTCAGGGATCACTCATTTCCAGCTGTTAACATAATTACAGGACACTCTATATAGTATAACGATGAACAAAGTACGCAGTTTTTAAACACATTCGACGTCCGTTCTTATAGCGCAAGCAGCGAACAGCTCGAATCCGACGCTACGCAGACACTTGGGCGACAATTTCAGTCAGAAATTGAAGATCCGAAGCAACTGCTTCGTCACTACTGTGGACAGTCGATTCTTGGTCGCCTGTGGTTTCTGGGACAACAGTTTTCGAGTGTTCTCCACCGAGACTGGTAATCTTATCTGAATCCTTCTCGCGATTTTATAGCAACCATGACTGGTTTCATGATTTAGGTCCCTGAAACAACCATGACTTAGGTCCTCCTGGTATATATGTATAATACAAGAAATTAATAGCTAGAGAGTTGGCTATTAGGAAATTGAAATATGGCCACCATTCGAGAGTTTCAATCGAAGAAAAAGCAAAATGACAGGGTGTCTACCATTTCTTTGCAGCGAAAATCGTGCAGATTGTGTTCGGCCACTACGGAGTCGTCACATGTCTGTCCCGAAGCGAGTGCAACATCACTTCCGACTGTTACATTGCATCTGGTAGTGCAGACTGCACCGTTCTCTTGTGGCACTGGAACGCTAGAACGCAGACGATCGTTGGGGAAGGCGAAGCACCGGCACCCAGAGCGACCCTAACGGGACACGAGCAGCCTGTCACGGCTGTCGTTATATCGGCCGAGTTGGGCTTGGTTGTCTCCGGCTCTTACTGTATGTAACAACACCGTCTTCCTAAACGTTTAACACTTCATCTCGAGCTAGAGGACTATCTACAGGTTGTCGCATAATTATGTTAACACTTGGAATCAGGTGATTCCTGAGGTCATTTGAAGCAACTTTTTCCTTTACAAAACTTTTCTCCGAGGCATCGTTCACGAGTTATTAGCGAAAAACGGTGACGAATGAGAGGCGAGACCAGCTGGCGCGAGGCGGCCGAGCTCCCAGTTCCGCTGATTGGCTCGGCCGCCCAGCGCTAGTCGAGCTCGCCCCTCATTGGCCAGTGTTTTTCCTTAATAACTCGTGAACGACGCCTCGGAGAAGATTTTCGCTAAGGAAAAAGTTACTTCAAATCACCTCAGGAATCGCCCATTTCAATTGTTAACATAATTACGGGACATCCTGTATGGTCAAACTGGAGATCAGCAACTGAATTCTCGATTACAGGTGGACCAGTTCTCGTGCACACGACTTTCGGCGATCTTCTGAGATCGCTGGAGGCACCGAATGGGTTCTCGTCGCCAGAGAACATCGCGATGTCGAGGGAAGGTGTGATCGTGGTGAACTACGAGCGCGGCCACATCGCCGCGTTCACCATAAACGGAAAACGCCTCCGTCACGAGTCTCACAACGACAATCTTCAGGTAACATATGGTTTGAAATAATTATAGTTTCAAATCATTTTTCGCGAGGCATTGAAAAATCGAGATTCAGATCACTCGATGACGCATACGTATATCACGATCTATGTTTCCAGTGTCTTCTGCTCAGCAGAGACGGCGAGTACTTAATGACAGGTGGCGACAAGCGGATCGTCGAAGTGTGGAGGACTTTCAACCTTGCCCTTCTGTACGCATTCCCAGCTTGCGAGAGCAGCGTGCGTTCTCTGGCGCTCTCCCACGACCAAAAGTGAGTAGAAAAATGTACAGTTCGATGGCTCTTATTGAAAAGAGGCTGAACGCATCGGTAAGACGCATCGAGCGTCGAGAGTCTCGTGGCTGGTCCGTTCCTCGACTCCAACTCGAAAGCCTCTGTTCCAGGTTTCTCTTAGCCGGGCTGGCGAACGGGTCGATCGTGATCTTCCACATCGACTTCAACCGATGGCACCACGAGTTCCAGCAACGTTACTGAGATTGCTTCGCGTACGTCTAGCAGAATCGTACACGCACGAGCGCAGCCCATCCGTTATCCGACCTTCTCGAGCAGCAACAGCAGCGGATCATCCCGAAGCCGTGGATGCGTCGCAACGGTGACCGTCTTCGCGCGATCTGAGGAGCCGGCCACTTTCGAAAACCATCGCCGGCGTCTACGACACAGACATTACGATTCTAGAAGCAACACGAAATCGCATCGCGCAATCACACGCCGGTAACAAAAGAGGAAGAGGAGGAGGAGGAAGAGGAAAAGGAGGAGGAATAAACAGAAAAATAGTACGATCGAGACTGTGAACAAGGTTCGTCGGGTATCGCGGCCGAACCGTACTCCGGTTCGAGGTGTTCACTACAGATAGGAGCAACGAGCAACGACGCTTTCGTAAACCGTTTATTACAATCATGTAGTAGAGAGGGCGCAGAACGTAGCCGCGGAGCCAGCAGGTAAAACTAACAATATTCAGCGTTTAGCAATAAAAGCTCGCTTTCGCGACTCTTTCACAATTCAAGCAGTGCTTCCGTGAAGCGGCGCGAATCGACGGCGACGCGCGAGCGAACAGTAGAATCGATCTCTCGAACCGCGGAGCCGACCGGCCTCCTCGAGTCGGCAGGGAGACGGTTCGCGTACCGGCCGCTGAATTTTTCGATCGGCGGGACAGGGCCGCGGGACTCGGCTCGAGCGGGTCGAGCCTCGGAACCGGTTCGAGAGGACTCGGAGAGAAAGCCGGACACGTCTCTCAACGCTAGTCAATTACGAAGACTCGGATCAATCTCTACGCTTGCGATATGTTCGAAGGCCGATTCTCTTAGTCACTTCTGCGTCGGAGTGTGCGGCGCGCTGATCCGACGACGGATAGATCACGACGGGCGAGGCCCGGCGATCTCCCGTGGGCCGCGGAACGGGGCCCGGCCGTTCTCAGGCGACCCGTCGATCATCGTCAATCCGCCTGGAGCCGCGCGGGTACGGCCCTCGACACCTCTAGCGCTGTAGCAAACGTCCCGTTGTAAATACAAGAGGAAAGTGGCAGGAAGGGAACGAGACAAAAAAAGAGAAAAGAAAGAAAACGATAATCTCTGCGACGTATAAATATACATATATAAATATATTATATATATATACGCATATAATTCCGATTATAATAGGGTGGCGAGCGAATGAGCGAAAGTTTGGGGGAGGGAGAAGCGTGTAACCATTTCGAGGATGAAATGTTTCCAATTGTATTAACCGCGCCGATGTCGTAATTGCCGCTCGTGATAAAAAAGGAAAAAGAGAAACACTTTTTGGCTAAGCACTTAGTGAATTCAGTTTAACGATACGTGGACACCTCTAGAGAAACACGGACCTGGCGCGCGCGCGCGCGCCCGTGCACGCGCGCAAAGGTGTATACGCGCGTGCACGCAGGCGGAGCGACCTGTGTGTTACCAGGCCTGCACAAGATGCACTTCCGCGAACAGATTACGATTTACAAAGGGGCGTCCAACGCTTTTCCGCAGCGCCCCGATCTCTCTCGAGAAACCGCAGATCCCAACAATCACCGGTACAACCACCGCCAAAAACACCACCGAAACCATCCTTGCAAACACTTTTCCTATATATTCCCCGACGTTCACGTCCTTCGAAAGAGATCCTAATTTTTATCAAAGCCGTCCAGCTTAACTTTTCGCGAGGATATTTCTTGGTATTTTCGCACGCGAGGTATAATTAATCAGCAAAGACAAACGTTATATAGGCTTAAAAAAAAAAGAAGAAAAGGAAAAAAAGAAACGAGAAATCACATCCCGAGTTCTCGCATTCCCCCAGCGATCCGAGATCGTACGGGGATCGACGTTGTTCGTGCGTGACCGTGCCGCCCGTATTCATTGTTCGAGTGGAACATTCGGACCGGTCCGGGCGTTAGTTTCGAGGAAACTTGCCGAGAGAACATTGCAGAGAGATTCACGAGTTGCGAGTAAACGCGGCGTCTCGGGCTCTCGTGGTCTGAATCGTTCGGATCGATCGTGATCGAGACTTCTAGATAACGGTGTACTTAATAAAGCGATCCGAAGATGTTATAGATCTTTCGTTTGTAGAATCGTTTTCGATCGGACCCAAGCTGTTTGGCTGCTTACGTTCTAAAGAAAGTACTTATAGCGTTCACCGATAATTATTCCAATTGTAATTCTGGCTCGGTACTTAATTTATATTCTGTCGCACACGCATGATATCCTGTGAAAATCATTTCTGTGATATTTCTTTTATTTCTTTGTATTCTGAAATGTGTTACCTACTTTTGTCACCTCAAAGAAGGTTGCTATTAGGAATTTACAGGAAAAAGATTCAATCTGTCGCTTAACAGTTTTCCTGTACTCGGTCGAATCTTATAAATAATAGTCGCAAAAGAGATCATTACCACTGCTGTACACGTTATCAAACTTTGAACGATGCATCTTCAATTTTCCTCCACTTTTCTGGAACGCATCTTTCAAGATAAGTATTAGAGAAGATTCTCGAGCAGCCAACAAACTCCAGTTCGTGATCGTACTTAATACATGAAAATCATTTCTGTGATATTTCTTTGTATTCTGAAATGTGTCATCTATTTCCATCGCCTCGAAGAAGGTTGTTATCAGTAACTTTCAGAAAAGAGATTCAAGACGTGTTCTCATCAATCTGTCACTTAACAATTATCCCGACGAATCTTACAAATAATAGTCGCGAAAGAGATCATTGCCACTGCTGTACTTACACTTATCAAACTTTGAACGATGCATCTTCAATTTGCCCCCACTCTTCCGGACCGCATCTTTCAAGATAAGTACAAAAGAAGATTCTCGAGCAGCCAATAAACTCCAGTTCGCGTTACCATCATGGCAAAACGTGTCAAAAGGTCTCGATCAGGTTCGATCGCCGAAACGCTGCGGAAAGCGTAGCGAAACTCGGAAAGTACGGGGAGAGGGATAGAGAATAAGTTCGTTCGCGTATGATCCAAGCGACTCTCGTCTACTATAGATTATATCGCCTACGCCGTAGAACGAATGCTAGTCACTCTCTTCGCGTTTTGAAAAAACGATGGAACAACGGCGTTCGCGAGCAAATGATTCGCTGTCGAGTTCACTTACCAAATAGAGATGGTAGCGAATACATAGTGTTCTTCTGTCCACGATACACGAGAGCCGATTGTTTTCACGCATGCACATTCTCACACGTACGCATCCACGCGCACACAGTTACACACACACACACACACACATACACATGTACACAGCAGCAAAGCAAAACAGACACGCGCTTAGTCGTCGCAAATCTCGATGTGTTTCCTTTCGTGTCGGTGATGTTTCACGCGAGTCGAAACTGTCTTCGAAACGAGACAAAAGGGAACGAAATCGGTGAACGAAGGGAGGCGAGGGCGTGAAACGGGGACAGTGTGAGAGGGACGCGCGTACATGATTGATAAAACGAGTGTTTATGGTGGCCCGAGGGTGGCCGCCGCGACGCCCATCGCTTGCGATTCGCGTGGGTCTATGCTCCGTGTACAGTCGCGTTTCCAAAATATTCGATCTGACCGCATCGCTTCACCGAGTATCTTACGTTCTCAACGATGGCAACAGCCTTCCCTTAAATATCTCAACTATTTTTAACAAGGCCGAACGAAAGCCTGTCAGTAATACACGTTGCTGCTTCAACGGATTACCAATACGGGGTGCAATATTCTCGCATTTCGCGCAGCGTACGTTGATCATCGCGCCTTCCGTTCGCTCGAAGAAACGTAAACCAGGGTACGGGTCGGAGTGCTGTAAAATCAAAACATGGAACGCGTGTGGAAGAGGCTTCGATCGATCGGAGAAGAAGATGAAATTCGGTCGGCTCGAGTCAGTTGTTTTCGCAATCGTGGAAGGGAATCGAGGGCAGGGGTCGCGAACGTCTCAGGATGTATTCTCTAGTCAGGACTCACCGGTCGAGGATGGTCGCGGGCCACTGTCGGGCCCACCCCCTACTTTCTTAGATGTCGATACACTTAAACCATATACAGTAACTGGAACTACGTGGTAGGATATAACGGATAAGTCGCATGGTGCCGTGGATTCTAGCGATCGATATCACGTTCCCGAGCTTGCGGAGAATCGCGATAATGTAACTTGTAATTGTTAAACTAGGTATCGCTGGATCTTAATTGTGTACCCGTCTCGCCTCCGATCGGTCCGGCGGATCGATCGATCGTTATCGTACAATTTATACACGCGTGGGACGGTGTCACGTGTGCCGGCGAAAATCGGAATGGGGGAAGAGCAAGGTGTCGGAGGAGAGAGAGAGAGAGAGAGAGAAACAGAGGCACACGCGACGGTGTATTAATCGCTAGCTCGTTGTGGGCGTGCTTATGCATGATTGTTCTGTATTGTTCCGTTCCGCGGAGTGATGAGGGCGGGGCTTGCGAAGTAGCGCGAAACGCGAGTGGCTGAGAACGGGGTGAATGAGCAAATGAATCGTGCCTGGGTGCTTCGGAGAACGTTAATTTCCCGCGGGGACGAGTCGCTCTCGTCGCAACTGTTTACTTGTTGTACTTAATGTACAGTCGCGTAGTATCGACACCTTATTTTCGCTACGATGGAAAAGGGAGAAAGAGAGAGAGAGAGAGACAAATAGAGAACGAGAGAGAGAGAAAAAAATAGAGAAGGGGAGAGGGAGAGAGAGAAATAGAGAGCGAGAGAGAGAGAGAAAAAAATAGAGAGCGAGAGAGAGAGAGAGAGAAAAAAATAGAGAGGGAGAGAGAGAGAGAGAGAGAGAGATAATGGATCGAGGAAACCGGTCGAAAAGCGTCCCGCGCGAGATTCCACGCGCGCCTCTTGTTCGCGAAACGCAAACCGCTGGAGAACGAGACAACTTTTGAATTTTCCCGCGTTCCCCAGCGCCAATGAGACGCGCGCGTGGGAGGCCCGCGCGAGCCCGGAAGATTCGAACACCGGGATCGCTTTGGAAACGATAGAATTGCGAGACCGGTGAGGACGTAGAAAAGTACGCAAAAAAGTACGAAAATGGACGGCGAAATGTAGAAGCGAAACAAAAAAAATTTTAAAAGAGAGAGAGAGAACGAACGAGCGAGTGAGAGCGGGGGAGAGAGAGAGAGAGAGAGAGAGAGAATGGAGTTTTTATATTTGTTTATAGGTGTGTGAGAACGCTGCACTTTTCGAGCAAGTTGTTAGTGAATTCCCTCCATATTGCTATTATACATAAAGGATGTTGTAAGAAGGAAAGGCGAGGACGACGACGACGACGATGATTAAGAAGATGAAGATGACGATGAAGACGAAGATGAAGAAGACGAAGAAGAAGAAGATGAAGAAGAGGAGGAAGAAGTGGATTTCTCGTCCGCGAAACTCGAAACCTCTCCGTATGACACACGTAATAAGAGTTTAAACGCTAAACTATTTTAAATAACGCTAAGTACAACGCTACAAGACAAAGGTTTCGCCTATAATGAATTAATTGAAAGCGCAACTATACTTTATTCTCATTAATTAATATCGATATTGATTATTACTATGATTATTATTCGAATCATTAGTGTTCTCATCACGCGTGTTTGTGGTTACAAGTCGACGTACTTAAATAATATTAAATAAAAGATAAAAAAAGAAAGAGAGAGAGAGAGAGAGAGAGAGAGAGAGAAGAGGAGAAGAAGAGACGAATGCAAACGGAACCGCGAAGTGGACGCCGTTATTTGTATATTCGACGAACGATTCTAGGGTCTCTCGTCCTACGGTTTTCCGTGTCGTGCCAACCGTTTGTTCCCGTTTGTTCGACGTTGTTCGTTGCACACCGAGCCGTCTGCCGCGTTCCATGGTGAAACGACCGCGCAGAGGGCTGAAAAAGCGAAGAGCGTAGAATCGAGGGATGACTGGTTCGCCTGGGATACGGATAGCTGCCCGTAGAACGTACTTATTGTAGATTTAATCGGACGTCTCGATGGGGCGCAATCACGGGCAAATGAAAGAGGGGAGAGAGAGAGAGAGAGAGAGAGAGAGAGAGAGAGCGCTCATCAATGCCGGAATAACACTTACTCGGACGCTTAGTCGTTAGATTCGTAAACTCGTTCAGTATTTAAAACAGCGACTCGGAGAAAGGGCGCCGGCTCGGGCGCTCTTTCTTCCGGTCGCCGAGTAATTTTTCCAATCGATCGATTAAAGAGAAAAAAAAGTCAATATAACACGCGAAAAACCGTAGAGAAAGCAAAGAGATTACACAAGCAGGATAAGAAACGGAGACAAAAAATATATATACACACGCACACACACGTACACGTACACACACACACACACACACACACACACACATACACGCACGCACTCTCTCATGCAGGTGAAGGGAAGATAAACAGAGAAAACGCGTAGCGAAAGAAAATAGGGTGAAAAAAAGGAATAATTAAAATAAGTCGTAGTGCTGCGAAATCGTAAAGAAGAAGAAGAAGAAGAAAAAAAATGAAGAATTAACGAGAGATCATCGAGTTCATCTTGCGTCAAAAGTAGCGTTTTATAATCGTGAAGCCCGTTTCTTAAATGATAAGCGATACAATTTAACACTTATTGTACAGCATTTGTAATGCTACACAGGAGAACAGTCGGACAGGGACAAACAGACAGAGTACATATACAGAGAGAGAGACAATGCACACACGGAGGATATACACACGCGATAGATAGACACGCGAGCCATCCGCGCGCTCTGGATCAAGCTTAAGCCCATCCAGTTTTCGCGCACGATTTACCGATCATAATGCAGTTCCATTTATTCAAGACTGAACATCGTTCCGGCGGCATATTCCACTCTTCTAATTCGCCGAATTCGCGTCCGGTCGATCGTGATCGTCCAACCGAGGGCGTTTAGCGTCGGAAGTTCTTTCTCTTAATTAGAAGAGCCGGGGAGGGGGAAAAAAAACACAAAAATTTCGGCGACGCGCGCACATTTCAGCGCGCCGCGCATCATATTTTCTGTGCAGCAACATGCGACACGCGCTGCTCCGCGAGCCGTATCGATATGGCCTAATTCTTGTTCACGATTATAAGGCAAACACGTAGAGAAAACAATGTAGCAGAGACAGAGAGACAGAGAGAGAGAAAGAGGAGAGAGAGACAGAGAACGCGAACGGAAAAAAGAGAGGGATCGATGTTCGATCGACGAACAAATGACTGCAATCAATGGAAATAAAAAAAAAACCCTTTCTTGAGGAAACCTCGATGCTTGTCCAGTTATGATTTTCCGATTGACGAAACGAATTGAAACGCGGTAAAGGTGAGAAAGCCAAAAAAAAGAAGAGAAACACAGAGAAAAGAAATGAATAAATTCGTACAACACCCACGTCGATCAGTCTCATCGTCGACGACACGGACGACGCAGGT